CAAGGACCTAGCTGGGACTCTGAAAAGAGCACCAACTGTTGCTGGACTGATGCTGATTGCAAGAGCAGTAGTGGTTTGTGAAGCAGGAGGTGTGAACTCAAGACAGTTAAAAGCTCACTCTTTTATTGATTCCACATGTGGAACATGCATTTCCTCATGCACATACACTGTGCACTTGTATTTGCAACCATGTATGCACTGCTGTTCTTGCACATGATCTGAATTCCCAGGGTGACTGTACCTCCTGTGGGCTTGCTGAAAAAGGCCATGGAGGCAGGTGCCTGAGATGCGCTTTCAAACTTTAGAAGGTATAAATCTGCTTCCATCTCTTTACTATTTCTTTCATCTTGAAACTGAGAGCAATGAAAACTCTGATGTTTTGGATAAACTTGAGTTTGCCAGTGAAAATGGGCTTGTCTCCATGTAAAGCTGATCACATATTAGAAAAAACACAAGAATAAAACCATTTAGTGGATGTATTTGCATGAAATGAAGTGTGTCTAAATATGGTGATTCCTGATGATGATATTGCTGTGCACTTCATGTAAACCTTTGCTGTTTCATTTTGTGCATACCAAGAGTTTCACCTTAGCACAAAATCTGAGAGAGCAGTGAAAACACACCATTCCCATAAATGAGTGTCCATGTAAACACAACAGTGTGCACATCGTGTGTGGTGTTGGTTTCACTTAGGGAAGGTTTGTGCTGCTTCTCAGCATTTTGCAGTGTATGTACACACTTGCACGCTCTGTGTTTCCATAGAAATCACGGAGTGGTTAGAGGTTTGACAGTATTCTGGCACTACAAGCAATGATTTCTGGATTTTGGGTTGGTGGGGGACATGCAAGTGCGCCAGCTATTATAACTGTGTGAAGTCACTGTACGGAGCGAACGGCTGCCAAGCTGCAGGGACCCTGGGTGCCGTTCCTGGGAGCCGTTCCTGGGAGCAGCAGTGTAGCAGGACTAGTGGGGGAGTCTAGCCCCATCAGTCCCATGCAGTGCGCCACGCTCCAGCATCCTCATTATCCACACAGTTCAAAAGGCAGTCCTGAGCAGTCCGTCACGTCCCACAAAAGGCTGTATTGATTGGTCTGTCGGAGCGTTTCCCGGGGTCCTTTATATCTCTCTGCCTCATCGTCAGTAATGAAGAGGCCGAGCGCGGGGAGAGTCAGCAGACTCCCAGCTGCTGGGATTTCTTCATCTTCTCATCAGGATTTTAATTAGACACGTCCGAGAGGGCAGCACCGTGTGAGGGCGGGCGGGAGCTTTATCAAGCAGGCCACATCTTTAATTACTGTTTACTGACAGATAACAAGGGAGGGGAGGTGGCAGCAGAGATGGTTGTAGGGGGAAGCAGGGAAAGGACGGCAGTCCCCAGAGTGTGTGCTCAGCAAAGGTGGCCTTTGATGGGGATCAAGTAGAAATTGTTCCCCCCTCTCCATCTGCCATGCTGTTTACCTGTTGCCATACTGAGAAAGGTTCCCCTTGCCCCATTCCTAGGGGGCAGAAGATAGTTCTGAAAGGTGTTAAGTGGTCAGGGCCAGAGACACAAGGAATGAAAAGTGTAAGTTTGGTTAGAGAAAAATGAGACAACTATCTCCTCTAAGCTGCCAGGATCCTCAGCTGAGCTGTCCTGTGCCTTCCCAGCCTCGGGCAGCCCTGCGAGGTTTCTCACACTGCACAGTAGGAAGCAAAATTATTTCCTTCTCCTTCTGTCTGGAACTGGCAGGTCTCCTCCCTCCCACTGTCACCATTGCTGTTTTGTCCAAAAGAAACCTTCTCTGTCTCTTCATGTGTCCTCAGCATTGGTGGTATGAGAGCAGTCTGGTCTGTGTTTGCTGCTGTTGCAGACATCCTCCCTGCTCTCTCGTGGGCCAGCTCTCCACCTGGTCCCTCTTCTGTCTGGCCCCAAAATCCACATCGCCCTCCAGCTTTTGTCTCGTTCCCCTTAAGATGCTTTTTGGACACCATTTGTAACCCAGCTGCTATGTCCTGCTGGATCACAGCCCTGTTTTTAGTTTTGTGGAGCTGCACCCTGGTTGGTTTGTGTTATCACAGGGGATTGGTGTTCACAGTCCCCACCAAACCAAATGGTTGGGCCTGTCTGCCGTGGTGGATCGCTGCTCCCTGGCTCAGCCAGCTCTTTAGGACATGGGATGCCTGCAGTGGAGTGCAGCAATTGGCGTCCACCTGAGCGGGGCTTCGGTGAACTGAGCTCAGCAGCCTGTCACTCTCCAGAAATTTACTCTGAAGTTCATGCCGCAGTCTTGGCTGTGTTTGTATCCACTGTAAGGTAGTCTGGTGCTTCCAAAATACTGTTGCCATCCCAGCATGGAAGATGGCCTGTGCCAGAGCTTGCTTTCCCTTGGTGCCAACAGACTCCCATTGCTCTGAGCAGAACAAGATCTGGAGGATGTGCTTGGGATCAGCAAGGACTCATTAATTGGACTGTTGTTCTTTCATTTTGCTACGCAGTAGCGAGCAGATTATAGAGCCCACACATTATAGATTTCCTGTCATCCCTCATGAATCAAGCTCCACTGTCTTATTTACTGTCGGCCAAGACCTGTGAATAACATCACCAAGGGATACACTCTCACACAGTTGTGCAAACACACAGTACAGAGCAGTTGCATGCGCTTTTGAGCTGTCAGTTTGCCTTCCCCCCTCAAAACACCTATGGTCGAGAAGGGCCCTCCGTTTCTTATCCGCACAGAATGGCTCCTGGCTGTCCTGAGAGTTCAGTTGGTAACACGGGAAGCAAATCTGTGTTATCCAAATAATATTAAATCCCACATTTTTAACTTTATGACATTTCTAGTTACAACTCCAGACTTTCTGTACACTGTCATACCCACATGCACCAAAGATGCGGGATTCCAGTTTGCTGCGAGCTGTTTCATATGAAATTGGGCAGGTCTTCACTGCTTGTCAGTGAGGTAAGATTGGTTTGTGCTCAAGGCATGGCACTGGAAGTCAGGACCATGGGCACAGCTCTCAGCTTCATCAAGGACAGCTGAGAAATTTTGCAGCTCTATCTAGTAGTGAAGTGAATGTAATAGGTGATAGCCTTGATTTATCAGAAGATATTTTCTCAAGTTTCCCAAAATTTCAGTTCAAGATTTTGAAAGAGAGTGAAAAATTGAATCCAGCTGGGAGATTTGCCTCAGTGAAGGGCAAACAGCCTTTCACCTGTTTTTGTTAACTGCAGTGAGGCATTGCTACTGAATCAATTGGAGTCCCCTAGAAGTGAAGGAAAGTTTGGCTTGTCTACCACAAGCCACCCTGCTAGTTGCAACCTTGTTCCTTGTTGTAGGTGTTTGTAAAAATTCTGTGGCCTTCCAAGTGATAAGCTTGGAGACCCAGGAATGAAATTAGAGGGACTGAGGTGCTAATTTGTTTCTGTTAGGCATGTTAATATTTCTGTTGTGGAAATCTAGATATTAGGCAAAGTCTGGGGAATGTGTCTTCAAATATTATGACTCTTTGTCCAAGAGGAAGTGATTAAGACGTTTGCTATGTCTGTTATTGGTAGAACTGGAAGTAAATGGGCTTTGATTGCAATGTGGCAGATTTCAGTTTAATGTTACAAACTTTGTATTAGCAACGATGCAGGAGCATTAGAGTAGACTGTAGAAGGGCTGCAAGTTTTTCAGAACAAGCTGGAAAAACATCTGTCAAAAATGAAGCTGCTATAGCTGGGATGGGGAGGGATCCACCAACCACCTGACCTGGTCCTAGGCCTATTTTCCGTGACTCTGAAATGTTAAGATGTGTGTGACCTTGTGTCCAGCTGATGCAAGCTTGAATGGGTGCAGGTGTGTGTATCAAATAAGCACGAGCGTATGTAAGCTACCAGGATAGTGTATGAGGGAGTACAAGCACTCCACTTTCCTTCAAAGGCCTGCCATCCAAATGCTAATGTACCCAACTATGGTAAGTCTTAAGAAGAGATGGTAGCAGCGCTCTTTCTTGCTTAACCAACTTCCTTAATTTTTATCTTCATTTTCACTGCCATGTACAACAAACAGACTAGTAGTACTGTCTTTTCTTTACTAGTGCTTCCTGTAAAATTTATTTTCAGTTGTTCATACCACTGCCAAGCTTCAGTCATTGCTGTAAACACTTTCTGTGCCTCTAATAGACTTGTTTTGTGGAAGTTTTTATCAAAACCAAATTTTTTTTTTATTTAAGAAAAAGTGGGGAGTATGCTGTGTTCTTGAATTATGCCTTCCTTCCATTTAAAAACAAATCAAGAAGATTCCTCTTTGCAAAGCTCTAAATCAGTTTGTGTTTTGGAGCCAGACTGCAGGGACTGCTGGGGCTGTGTCAGGGCAGAGGTGGTGTCAGTAAGTGAGGCTACCAAACAGTAATGGAAAGACAGGGCAAGGGGAGCTGGGCAAAAAGGCGAGGAGGGGAATTAAATAGTTATAAGTAGCTGTTGAACAAGGAGACTGGGGCTGTGGAGCGTAGGGGAATGGTGTTTGGAGGGGTGAGATGATAGCAAAGGAAAGGCATGGGGTGAGAAGGCAAAAGCAGTGAAGAGAAGAAAGTGGGCAAGGATGGTCTGGAGAGGAGAGAGCAAGAGGCATGACTTGGATTGAATGGTTGGAAGAGCCTCTGAATCATTCTTCCTCAGCCATCATTAGTGTCTGAAATTTATTCAGTGTTTGGTGTTCCTCATGTTAGTCTTCACAAAGGAGGATGAGCTACGCTTGCAGCCCATTTACTCCATTACCTTGGTTGTAGTGATCCACGTAATGGATTCGTCTCTTCTGATAATCCACAAAAGTGTCATTGTGATGTTTCATGAGGGAATCTGTTCACTGTAAAGGAAACAACAAACTCTGTGAAAAAGGCATTTTGAAGGCTGCTAATGCAAGAACTGGAAGAATTCTGCGTGCACTACTGTCTACCCGACTGTGTGTCTTATACAACTCATGTTTTATCTATGTCACTGTGTGATGTTTCTTCCACAGGACCCCTGCCTCATTCACTGCATGTGATGGACCTGCTCTGAGATAAATCAGAGTTGCACAGTGAAAGAGACCATCTGTAGGACCCCTGCCTCATTTGTCAGGTGTGTACTGAGTGAGACAAGGGACTGCAGGAAGGGGAAGCTTTTATAGCTGAGGCAGTTGACTTTTTTCCTGTGACCATTTCTATATGATAGACTATATGATCTTTTCAGGCTTTTTGAAACAGCTGTTGTGCCAGTGGTTGTTTAATTCTGCATTCCTTATTTTATAGGGGACATTTTTGATCCCAAAGGACCTGCTTTGCAGAAACATTGAGTGCTTACAGCTGCAAATTAAGTGAATGGGAATCCACTGAACCCAAAGTGCTATACAAGCACAGATCAGTCAGGCTACTAGTCTCAGACTGGACACCCAGAATTAGCAAATACCTTTCAATATGGTCTTCAGTCATTCACCCGTAAAATGGGAATAAAAATACCCCCTATTCTCATAGAGGTGTGTGAAAATAAATGATCTTGGGCTGGTGAAGCTCCTGGACAGTGTAGTGATAAGCCTATAGAAAAACACATAACGAAATGAATAAATCTCTAGAGCCAGGTTTGAATAATGTGCGGTAAATAAGGCCTGGGGCCACACACCGAACAATGAGTAGAAACCAGCATCTCAAATAGCTGCTTATTACGTGGGAAAAATCTCTTCTGAGTGCAGTCTGAGATGGGGTACTGTGGAAAAAATATGACTGTGTAATTAAAGGCTACAAAATAATGCATATGTACATGAGGGCTAAGAGTACTTCTCAAAAGTAAACACAATTGTCACATTTCCTAATTCTTTACTTCATTTGTAGTCTGCCCTATTTAATAGACAGGTTTTTTGTTTGTCTTTGTTTCACGGGTCCTGTCGTACTTTGCAGATTTATGTGCTGTAAGATGGTGTTGTCCCAGCCCCTCCACTTGGATTAAGTGTTGCCATTTCATGTATTTGCAGGTCAGCTAATTGCAGGTAGTCAAAACCTGCTCATCTTATATATTATGTATTCCATAAGTTGTAATCTCCACTGAGGTGCAGATTTGTATGAGTGAGAAAGGCAGAGCTGACCCTGTAATTTGCCATCATGAGCAAAACTGACACCCAGATGCTGCTGTTACTAACAGTGAAGGAATTGGGGATATTTGAGATCTTACAACACGCTAGCAGTAATTAGAGCAATAAAACCCCCAGTAATTTTCCCATGCAGCAATATGCAAGAGAAGAGAATGTCACTAGGGCTATGAAATGGCTTTAAAAGTCTTTGCTGTAATGGGTGGAGGAAGAATGGCAAAGCTTAAGCTCCTAGCGGAAGTATACAGAAAGGTAACGCTCAAAATACCCGTTTTTAAATAACCACACTTCTGATGACTGATTATGTGCATGTTTAGGAACAAATATATAATGACTGTAATGGTAATGGAGTAGTGTTAAAATCTATCAAGTTGAGAAGCTGAGTGTTAATGGTGCTGGGATGATCAGTGTCCAAACCTAATGCTGGTTAACCTTTCCATGATGTGTCTGGTATTTTGCTGTAATTCCAAGGGAGAATGTTATGAATAGTAGTAAAGTAGTAGAAGTGGAGGTGTGACATGTACCCCTGACATTTTGTTTGTAGGAAGTAGAATTGTCTATTGCAAATGTCTAAGAAACGTACCATAAAATCTTTTTCTCTTATATTTTCCCCTTCTTTTCACCAGTCGCAATCTCAAATACTGGAAGAAAAACTCATTGGGCTATTTAGGCTGTAGAACATGATGCCTCTCTCGAGGATGACTAGTACCACTGTTGGCCAGTTTATGATGGAAAGCACTGGTTTCCACATGTGCTGCAGATAGTGGTTCACTCTGGAAATGAAGCAAGCCAAATCCATCAAACATATTTTAATCTGTGTAAGAGACTGAATGAGCATCCTCTGTGCAGTGGTTTAACTGCTCAGTTTTAACAGTTCCGTCAGACAAATGTATTGTATGCTTTAAAGAGGACAGAACAAAAACTGATGCCAGGGTACCCAAGGGCAGGAGCTCTGACAAAAATCCCCAGGCAGGGCCTGGCACTACTGGCCAAAGGAGAGAGGAAAGGGCAATTAAAAAAATATAACAATCTGTTCTTGTAGTGGTCAGGCTGCAAGATGCAGCACGTGTGCTGGGTGGGAGCCATCAATGAGCGCCGGCTTCCCCATGGGACATCCAGACCTGGACTATCAAAGTAAGCTGGGGATGGAACAAACACATGTTATGCCAGACACGTCAGCAGAGAGAGTCTGTTTTACATAGGCGCCTGATCTTACTTGGCATGCTTCAAAGTCTTTCTTTTCTGAATCTCAGGGTGCAATATAACCATTAGGGTTTAATCCTAACTGCTCTGTTCTCTGCATATGATGCAGCTCTGGGGTATTACTTCTAACCTATGTAGACGGGAAGCCGAGGCACACGGTGGAGTGTTGCCAGGTGCACAGTCACACACCTCTGCTTCCCTTTGATGAGAGGAGGAAGAGGGGCGGTGGGGGCAAGATGTCTTATTGACAGAATTAGGTTGTTAGTGCCCTAAAATTGATGTTTTGAAAACACCATCTTCAGGCATCTTTGTATAGCCAGCACTCTGCCTGATGGAAGACCAGCTTAGGGCAGAGTGGGGAAAATAAACCTGAACATACGGGCTAGTGGACCCCACACCGCTGTGGCCATGCAGGGGTAAGGTGAGGCCTTGGCATCACAAAAACTGTGTGTGACTGGAGGGTGTGATCCTAACTGTACTCAGGGGCAGGCAAGTCAGAGTCTCACTGTTTACAGACCTGCCAAGTGGAAAATATTTATTTGCTGCTCTGGATCCACGATCTAGGAGAAAAGAATAAAAGGGATTTGACCTGCAGTGTGAGGAAAATTACCTGAGCAGGATGCAAAGGACAAATGGGACAGAGGGCCTTACCTTGCCCAGCCAGGGGGGATTGGGAAACAGAGGTGAGGCATAGGATCAACTTCATTAATTGTTATTTATTATTAATCTACTAATTTTTCCGCTGCTCGGATTCCGCGATTGCTAGAAATAAAGGCTCCTCTAGCTGTCTGGGTGCATCTGTGACATTGACTCTGTCTTTGAGATGGGGAGCACCCTCTGGTGGTTAAGGATAACCTGACATTTCCTGGGATTGGCACCCATCATCCCCGCAAGCCGCCAGTTAAACTGGGCGGGAGGCTAGTGGCTTTCTGTCACTGCTGGGATGGATAGGTGTTTGGGGCACAAATGCTCTCTCTGACTTTCTAACCCAGGAATCCGAGCTGGCGCCTTGGGAAGCCTTTTTGTCCTGTGACAAGTGTGCAAGTTGTGCGTGCTGTCTCTGCTCTGCTGTTGGGCAAAAGCTCACATTCAGCCCCTTCTTGCTTTCTCCTGGTGAGAGGCCACGTAAAGCTCAGTTTGGTTCATTAGTTTCCAGTCAACACAAAATCTGGCGCTGGCTCTCTCCCTGGGAACTGCTGCCTGCTTCCTGCCTCTGCTCTTGCTCCTGTCTCCCAACAGCGCTAGTCTTGCACCCAGAGCTCTCCTCAGTCCAGCTCTGGCTGGATTTGCTCTGCCTAGGTGCTGAAGCCAGCACAGTACAGTCCCTTGCAAGGAGCACAGGAATTCAGCTCAGGTTTCCCTTCTCCTTCTCTAAGTGGATTAACAGGCTGAGGGGATCGTCTCTGCCTGCCTGCCTCCCTCAATCTTCATTAGCTAACATGTTTCGCCAGCCGCAGTCACATCCTGGTTTGGAGAGCTGTTTGACAGGAGTGGATTGTGGCCCCAGCCTCCCACAAAGGCTATTGCATCTTCTGAGAGGGTTTTCTTGGTAGCAAGTCTCTGTGGGCTGCCCTGGGTGAGAAGGATGTAGGGCAGGAGTGCTGAAAGGTGTCCGTCTTTGCTCTGTGCAGTGTTCACTTTACAATAACTAATCTGCATCCTCTGCTGACGGAGAGACCTGCACCCTACGTAACGCACATGCTGTATGAGTGTCAAAAATTGTTTTGTGTCTCTGAAGGTGCCACCCACATGTGGTTTTTTCGCCTCATGTTTTCCAGTCAACAGAGGATCCTGAATATATTGGGATGTCTGTGAAACTTCTGTTAGCTGTCTGTCACTTCTGGATGCCCTTTGTTTGGGTGCTTGTAGGTAGTCAGTTTGAATGCAGTATTTCCTAACAAGCTGTGTGCAAGCAACTGACCCTATCTCCTCAGCCCCTTCCCCTCCCTGCTGCATTGTGGTAGTCATTAACGGGTGTTGCACCCTTACACAGGCAGTCATTTATTTTACAAGTGCTGCTGTTTCCTCAGTCCAGAGAAGATCTCCACCAGGAAGCTGTACACTTTAAATTGCATCGATTTTAAAACAATCCATTTAAACTAGCGAAAATCCAAACTGTGGATGCTCTCCTGCCTGTTTGAGGATGCTTCATATTTGCTCATTAGGTGTCTGAACAGGTTTAGTTTCAATAGTAATGAGCGCCTTTCGCACCATCTGAAGTTAATCTGTTTAAAATTGTACCTTGAATTATGCTGCAGTAACATTCTCGTGCAAAGAAAGCCTGCGAGGAGAGGAGGTGAACACTGGGCATCACTATTCCAAATGCCGGGGGCGGGGGGGACACCCTACGCCCAGCAGTGCGGAGGCATTTGTTATCCGTGCAGAGGCCTGAGTGTACCTTAGCAGGAAGAAGAGGCTTCCTCCTGGCTGTGAAATGCATGTAACTGGGTGCAGATTAAGCCTTGTGTTTCTGCGAAACTGAGACTCCGTGAAAGCACAGAGCATACTACAGGAATTATTGTTACTGAAAAGTCTCCATAGGAAGTGTTTCACAAGGAAGCAAATATTCACCTTTTGTTTTTGTAACCTGACCATTGCGGCAGGGGAAGTTGGTGTGCCAGGCTCTGAAAGCAAGGTCGACTGGCCAGGAACAGAATCAAAATGGACTTTTTTTTCTTTTGGCAAGTTGGAAGGGAAATAAAGGTGGCAAATGAGCATGAAGGGGCAAAGGACACAGCAGACTCTGGAGGATTTTAGAACCTAAAGCTGTATTCAGCAAATTAAGGGATGAATTGAA